AGTCCTAGAGAGGACAAGAGAGGAAGGCATCCCGAGCCCAAGCGAAGGGTGAAAAGGCCGGATTCCTAGAGAGGACAAGAGAGGAAGGCATCCCGAGCCCAAGCGAAGGGTGAAAAGGCCTGGCGCCGGAGTCCTAGAGAGGACAAGAGAGGAAGGCATCCCGAGCCCAAGCGAAGGGTGAAAAGGCCGGATTCCTAGAGAGGACAAGAGAGGAAGGCATCCCGAGCCCAAGCGAAGGGTGAAAAGGCCTGGCGCCGGATTCCTAGAGAGGACAAGAGAGGAAGGCATCCCGAGCCCAAGCGAAGGGTGAAAAGGCCTGGCGCCGGATTCCTAGAGAGGACAAGAGAGGAAGGCATCCCGAGCCCAAGCGAAGGGTGAAAAGGCCTGGCGCCGGATTCCTAGAGAGGACAAGAGAGGAAGGCATCCCGAGCCCAAGCGAAGGGTGAAAAGGCCGGATTCCTAGAGAGGACAAGAGAGGAAGGCATCCCGAGCCCAAGCGAAGGGTGAAAAGGCCTGGCGCCGGAGTCCTAGAGAGGACAAGAGAGGAAGGCATCCCGAGCCCAAGCGAAGGGTGAAAAGGCCGGAGTCCTCGAGAGGACAAGAGAGGAAGGCATCCCGAGCCCAAGCGAAGGGTGAAAAGGCCTGGCGCCGGATTCCTAGAGAGGACGGCGGGCGCAGGTCCCTCGCTGGTCTCTTCCGGCTCGGCTCTCTCTCCTCCCGGGAGCCTCGGAGGGCGAGTCTTTCTTCCCCCGGGGGAGGGGGAGCCGGTCCCCGGGCCGCAGCCGGGGTGCGCGGGACCTCCCAGGGCAGGAGGGAGCTGAGCATCGCGGCTCTTCCTCGGGGTCCGGGGGAAACGGGCGTGCAAAGGACGAGAGACAAAGCAGATGATTCACAGACGGGGAAGCCAGGCAGAAGCATTTGGACATAAATATCTGGGCAAAAAATGAACACCTGAGCCCGTGCAATCCGTAGAGAAAGACGGTCGGAAGAAAAGGAAGCGCGTCTTCCTGCGGTGAAGTATGGATCTCCCTCCCGCGGGAGGCAGGCAGGGCCTCCGAGCTGGCAAGAAGGACGGGTTGTTAGCCCCCGGGGGTGGGACGGGGAACCTCGCCTGGCAGCTCTCCGCCCTCCCAAGACTCCCACAATCAGGGCCGGAAGGTAAATGCAGGCATGCGATATAACAGTCCCGCACATCTGCAGCAGGAGGATGGAAATTCCCAACATTCCGAACTAACCCCGTTCCCCGGGATTCTTTGGAAGCCATGGCTCTTTCACGGGGTCTGATTCTGCTTTGAAGGTACATTGCAGGTGTGGCCCGGGCGTGCTTTTTCCTTTCTTCTTTGAATAACTTTTTATTGAACTTTATAAACAAGGATAATAGAAGTAATGAATGATACCAATAATTAGACGGAGTCTTCTCATGTCATTTGTATATCACAAAAATAGCAAAATACATCTGCAGGAATATCTGCAATATATGTTTCATTATGAGTGTTCAACGTAGGATTCCTTGGTTTGATTCCTTGGTTCCTGAATAGGTTTAAACAGAAGCAACATAGCATTAGCCAAACTCCTAGAGAGGCAAGCTTGTGGTTGCTCTTAGGTTAACTCTCCCCCCCCCCCTTCATGTTGCAAATGGAAGAATGCTAGATGCCCTCATGGTCCCTTCCAACTCTACAAATCTGTGATTCTTAATGGAAATGTTGGTCTATTGATGAGTTGTGGGAGGGAGGCTCAAAGTGAAGATGATGATTTATGTTTACATTTAAAATTTAGATCAACCAGATTGAGCCAAGTACTGAATGATGTGTGTGTTTTCTTCTGTAACCTCAAGGGCAACAAAACCTCTGCAAATTCCAGCAGGCAAGTTCCCCACTTTCTTGAGGATGTGTGTTACTGCTGTTCTTGTTGTTGTTGTTATCACTATTTTTACTACTACTCCATTTATTATCCAGGGTGGGATACAGCAATTTTTAAATCAACAAAATACAGTCACAGGAATAGGGTGGTCCTGTAAACACATGTCTGCGGTGTCAGAGGCTTTGGTGAATAGCGGAAGGTGTCAGATGTGCCTCTGTGGGAGGGAATTCCCCAACCAAGGAATGCCTCTCTTGGGACATCCCCCCTTCCAAAACTCTGAGCGTGGTGAGACTACCAAGACCTCTCCCAATCCAAAAACATCCAATGGGTATTTTAGAGAAGGAGGTGGTTCTTCAGATAATGTGAGCACCTTGAATGGGGCTCAGAAATGAACTCACAACCAATGCAGCAGTTTTAAAAAAAAGCAAGTAAATGTGTTCTCAGGTCATTGTGGGGATTAAATGAGGAGGGGTGTAAGCCAAGTAGAGCTTTTTGGAGAAAAGGGTGGGATATAAATACAGTTAATAAAGAGAGCGAGCCCACCAGCTAGCCAATAATCTGGTCACTTGCATTTTGGACCATCTTCCAAGTCCTCCTACAGCGTGGTGTAGTGGTTAAGAGTGGTGGACTCATAATCCGGTGAACTGGGTTCGCGTCTCCGCTCCTCCACATGCAGCTGCTGGGTGACCTTGGGCTAGTCACACTTCTCTGAAGTCTCTCAGCCCCACTCACCTCACAGAGTGTCTGTTGTGGGGGAGGAAGGGAAAGGAGAATGTGAGCCGCTTTGAGACTCCTGAAGGGGAGTGAAAGGTGGGATATCAAGTCCAAACTTCTTCTTTCTCCTCCTCCTCCTCCTCCTCCTCCTCTTCTTCTCTTCAAGGACAGTTTCACACAGAGGGCATGCAGTAATTCAATCTGATTCAGAGCATGGATTACAAGGGACACCTCGTCACAGTCCCAAAGGGACAGAGATGGCAAACTAGCCCAGAGTGGAAATGGGCACTGCTAGTCCCTGAGGCCACCTGAGCCTCAAGTGACCCTGCTGGATTCAGGAGTACCCCCAGGCATATATGGCTGTGTGTGGGTTAAGCTTTGTCACACCATCATCATCATCATCATCATCATCATCATCATCATTAATCCACCCTTCACCTTCAGTTCCCAGGCAGATTACAACATTAAAAACCACATTAAAACCGTTTAAAACAACTTACGATCTCAGAAATAAGATGAGTCTTTCTTTACTTGCTTTTTAGCGCTGCCCCTTGGCTCCACCCCCACGTGCTTTGAACTTACCCCCGTCATCCTCAGGGGGTTGGCCAGGTAAGTATCTGGCCCTCAGAAACAAAAAAGGGAAGACCCCCACACCAGTAGTATGTTTTGAGAACATTGGAGATTCCAAGTGCTAGAAAATGAGACAGAAACAGGAAAGGATTGTGTGTTTAGCGGGGGAGGACAGGACGGGGAGCAGCTTTTGAGGGCCCCAGGTTTAGGACCCCCACCACAGCCTAGTGTCCACAAATGCATTTGGTACTCACTCGTCAGTCGCAGTTCTGACTTCATGCATTGACTGAAAGGCAGGAACAAGCGGGGTATTCATCTCACAGAAATGCCCTCAGTTGTCTGCACATTTAGTATGGCAACATTACTTCTAGGAGGGCTAAAGTCTTCCTTTTTCTTTTAGAGAAAGCTCAGAGTCTGTGCTGTGGTGGCAGTCCAACCCTGGTTCCTAGTAAGACTCATCCACGCTTACTCAGGGAACATTTTTCTTCTCCTGACAGTATACCCAATTTTATAACAGAACAATGCGCTTGTTTTGTAGGACTTGCTAGTGCTTCTAATTGGGAACAGACAGAACTTGGCAGAAGAAAAAGGGATCTCCGCGAGCTTCAATGAGAGCACAAATGGATGAGCAAGACTCAGCTGACCCTGAAGCAGAAGAGGCCATGCTATCAAAACTGGGAGCAGTGGGAGTTTCTGGGGAAACTCGCTGCAGAAGGTCCTGGGTGAGGAGGACACCCTCTGCTCAGAGGTGCAGAGCCAGCAGTTCAGGCAGCTCTGTTCCTGGAGACTGAAGGACCCCGAAGAAGTTTGCAACCAATTTTTACCGTCTTGATGGTCAGTGGCTGAAGCCAGAAAGGCATACAAAAGTTCAGATGCTGGACCTGGTGATCATGGAGCAGTTCCTGGCTGTCCTTCCACTAGAGATGGAGTGCTGGGTGAGGGAATGTGGAGCAGAGACCAAGTTCCCAGGCAGTAGCCCTGGCTGAAGGTTTCTCCTGAGTCAGGCAGAGGAGAGGAAGCAGGCGGAGCAGCAGGTGAGAGAGACTTTCCTCTGGATGCTCCTAAGGGGCTCCAAACATGAGGGAGAGCATCCCTAAATCCCATCCTTTTTTGGAAAGCATCCAAGAATGCCTCTGCCATTCCTTTTTCCAGTACTTCTCCAACTTCCCTGTTTTAAATCCTTGTTGCTCTTTCAGGGAAAGGAACTGTTTGCAGACAAGGGCTTGGATTCCTCAGAGAGGACTCTGTGGGAAACCAGAGAGAGGCTGTTGGGTAAGGACTGATGAGTTCTTTCTACATTTTGGCACATGCTATTGATTTTGAAACTAATATAATGGGTTCTTTGAATTCTTTTGAGGAAGACATTTGGGCCCAACATGGAGTCTACACACACATAAAAACTGTTCTGAAAATGCTTTTTAAAAAATAACATTGACTTTCCATAAGGCTCACCACCGTCATTTAGTGTCACATTGCATATTGCACTGAAAAACACACTTAAAGCCTTTTATTTGTGGCTGTGTAGCTGAGTCCCAAGAACCCCAAGGAGTGGAGATCCATTTTTTGTAGGCATGAAAATGTGAAATGAGTACAAACATCCAAATGCACTCAGCAGGCAAGACTTTACGTAAGGCCCACCTGAAGTTAGAGTTCGTGCTGCTTGACCTCTGAGAGAAGCATGCACCTGTGTCTTCCTACTTGCCTTCTTACTTACAGGTGACCAAATGATGCCATCAAGACATGCTCCTCCATCTTTTCATGGTGCTGGAGGGGAAGCAGCGGCTGTGGAACCAGATCAAGTAGGAGGAAGAAGCCTTGTGGGGAAAGAGGCTGAGGGGTGGGGCTGCCTGGGTGCCTCCGGGCCCAAATGAATCTCTCCCCCTCCTCCTGCTGCTGTGAAACTGCCCTTAACAAAGTCTGAACATGCCATTCCAGAAGATTTGTGTGCTGTGAATAATCAACAGCCACCTCTCCCTTAACTAGGTTTCCGAGTGTTTGCTAGTATTATTTACCGTATTTTTCACTCCATAGGGTGCCCACTGGACCATAAGGCGCACCTAGTTTTTAGGAGGGGAAAAAAAAATCTTATTCCCCACCCCAGCCCCAAAGAGCAGCGGACAGGCTTCTGGAGCTGTCAGGTGAAGCCCGGGTTCGCTGTCTGGCTTCGTTTTTAGCCGTGCGCAACCTTCCTGGCTGGAGAGGTTGCGTGCTGCCTTTGGCTTTGTTTTTAGCCACGGGGCTGGGGCAGGGGGAAGCCCGAGCTTCCCCCGCCCCAGCCCCCAGAACAGGTCGGGGAGCGGCGGCAAGGTTGCACGCAGCCTTGCCTCCGCTCCAGAGCTTGGGGGCTGGTGGGGGAAGCCGGGTTCCCCGCCCCCAGCCCCAGGGACCACACATTCGCTCCATAAGACGCACAGACATTTCCCCTTAGTTTTTTAAGGAGGAAAAAAGTGCATCTTATGGAGTGAAAAATACGGTATGTTGTTGCCACTTTTATTTATATATTTATTGTTGAATGCTAAGACAGGCTTCTAAGCAGTGGCCAGGAGTCCTCTAGCCAGCCACATCAGTTGCACAATGGGGCTCAGCTCCCTTTCCTCCCACTCCTTGTGCCCCCATGCACCCCTTGCAGTTGGCTTTAGGGGCATTGGGAGCCCCCCCCCCCCGCCGCCAAGAACAGCGCATTGGGGAGTGGAGTGGGGATCTTTCCATCTGGCAAGCTGGAATGCTTGCACAGAGAGAAGGATTTGAAGTTCCACCCTATTACACAAAATTAATACCCATCATTAAAATAGGACAACAAAAAATCCATTAAAATGTTAAAACAAGCTCACATAATTGAAATGTGGCAGCAAACCCATCCAATTAAAACAACACAGCAATTCACAGGCAGAAAATAGCAGAGCAGTGTACAGTTTATATTCTTCATGCTGTCTAAGAGGACAACCTTTTTCTTTTAGGGTCCAGTGTGCTTTGAAGATGTTGCTGTTCATTTCACAGATGAGGAATGGGTGTTGCTGGATCCTGACCAGAGAGCTCTGCATAAGGAAGTCATGGAGGAGAATCGTGAGGTCATGGACTCTCTCAGTAAGACTCCCTCTTGCTTCATAATTTCTGTTTTGATATTGAGTATTGTGACAAACCTCCAGTAATTGGATGGAGCTCAACAGCACCATCTACAGCATCAAGGATTCTAACTCCCCAATGGAGGACTATCAACTGTTTTGTCTGTGCATATTCTCCCCTCCAGTTAGGCTTCAGAGCTGTTAGGAAAGTTTGAAACAGCTTCTGTCAGGGTTTTTGGGTTGACTCAAGAGAAAACTAACATTGGAGATGGAGAAGAATCCATGATTGGGCAAAGCAAAATCCATCCCAGAAAAGAGTCAGGCTTTATTGACCTCAGGTTCCTATAAATATGTCAGTTAATACAAAGACACTGAACCTTGTAGTAAGACCTGGGTGTTCATCAGTATGCATATAATATCCAGCTCTACCTCTCTTTCAAATCAGAACCTCGGTCCAGTATACCTGAAGGAGTGTTTCCACCCCCATCGTTCTGCCTGGACACTGAGGTCCAGTGCAGAGGGCCTTCTGGCGGTTCCTTCACTGCGAGAAGCCAAGTTACAGAGAATCAGGCAGAGGGCCTTCTCGGTAGTGGCACCTGCCCTGTGGAACGCCCTCCCACCAGTTGTCAAAGAGAAAAACAAGTACCAGACTTTTAGAAGACATCTGGAAGGCACCCCTGTTTAGGAAAGCTTTTAATGTTAGACAGATTATTGTATTTTAATATTTTGTTGGAAGCTGTCCAGGGTGGCTGGTGAAACCCAACTAGATGGGCAGGGTATTATTATTATAATAATACTAATTATTATCAATAAATGAATGAATAAATAAATAAATAATTGTCTTAACTCCCTTCTCTTTTCTCTCTCTCACAAGCATTGATTATCATTGTTCAATAATCTGGGGCTCAGTTTCTTCCTAAGGCTCTAATCCATTTCTCTTATTGTCACAGTGCTGATGAATTGGGAAATTAAGAACAAGAGAGACCACTGCAAAATCCACACAGTGGAGAAGCCATATAACTACATGGTGTTGTTGGGAGAAAAGCTTCAGTCAGAGCTTTCTTATTTCCTCTTCCCATCAAAAAAAAATCCGATGAGAAGAAAGACCTCTGTCAGTGCTTCTGAAATGTGGAAAGAGCTTCAATTCCAAGAGGATGTCTCACTTCCCCATCAAAAAAACTCATAGCAGGAAAAAACTCAATATCAGTGGCTTGGAATGTGGAAAAACGCTTCACCGTGGAAGGCAAGTCTCACTTCCCAATCAAATAATTCATACAGGGGAGAACCCATTATCAGTGCTTGGAGAGCCTTCGCCTGGAAGAAGGTCTCATCTTCCCATCAATAATTCATTACAGGGGAAAACACCATATCAATGTTTGGAATGTGGAAAGAGCTTCAGTCGTATGAATTCTTTGGTGGGAAATGAGGCTTTCCTTGCAGGTGAAACTCTTTCCACATTCAAAGCACTGATAGGGATTCTCCCCACTGTGAGTTCTTTGATGGGAAGTGAGTGGGCCCTTCTGACTGAAGCTCTTTCCACATTCAATGCACTGAATACGGTTTCTCACCACTGTGAATTCTTTGATGGGCCGTGAGATGCGCCCTCTTACTGAAGCTCTTTCCACATTCCACATTCAGTGCTTGGAATGTGGAAAGAGCTTCATTTGGAAGGATAATCTCACTTCCCATCAAAGAATTCACAGCGGAGAGAAACCCTATCAGTGCTTGGTATGTGGAAAGAGCTTTAGTCGGAAAGAAAGTGTCACTTCCCATCAAAGAATTCATACAGGGGAGAAACCATATCAGTGTTTGGAATGTGAAAAGAGCTTCAATCAGAACACCCATCTCATTTCCCATCAAAGAATTCATACGGGGCGAGAAACCCATATCAGTGCTTGGAATGTGGAAAGAGCTTCAGTAAGAGGCGCATCTCACGGCCCATCAAAGAATTCACACTGGGGAGAACCATATCAGTGTGTTGAATGTGGAAAACAGCTTCAATTCCAAGGGGACTCTCACTTCCCATCAAAGAATTCATACAGGGGAGAAACCATATCAGTGCTTGGAATGTGGAAAGAGATTCAACCAAAAGGAAAATCTCACTTCCCATCAAAGAATTCATACAGGGGAAAAACCGTATCAGTGTTTGGAATGTGGAAAGAGATTCAGTCGAAATTCCCATCGCACTTCCCATCAAAAAACTCACAGCAGGGAGAAACCATATCAGTGCTTGGAATGTGGAAAGAGATTCACCTGGAAAGGAAGTCTCACTTCACATGAAAGAATTCATACAGGGGTGAAACCATTAAAATGCTTGTGATGTGGAAACAACTTCAATTCCAAGGGGAATCCCGTGGTCCATCGAAGAATTCATACAGGGGAGAAACCATATCAGTGCTTGGAATGTGGAAAGAACTTCAGTAAGAGCACCAAGCTCACGTCCCATTAAATAATTCACCGTGGGGAGAATCATAGAATTGTAGCATTGGAAGGGACCCTAAGGTTAATCTCTTGTCTTTGTCCATGGAGTTTTCCTGGCAGGCATACTGGAGTGGATCACGTTTGGTCAAAACTCTCCACTATGACCTGTCCATCTTGGGTGGCCCTGCACGGCATAGCTCATAGCTTCTCCGAGTTATTCAAGCCCCTTCGCCACGGCAAGGCAGTGATCCATGAAGTGAGTGAGGAGGAATTAAAGAACCTTTTAATGAGGGTGAAAGAGGAGAGCGCAAAATATGGTCTGAAGCTCAAGATCAAAAAAACAAAGATCATGGCCACTGGTCCCATCACCTCCTGGCAAATAGAAGGGGAAGAAATGGAGGCAGTGAGAGATTTTACTTTCTAGGGCTCCATGATCACTGCAGATGGTGACAGTAGTCACGAAATTAAAAGACGCCTGCTCCTTGGGAGAAAGGCGATGGCAAACCTAGACAGCATCTTAAAAAGCAGAGACGTCACCTTGCCAGCAAAGGTCCGTATAGTTAAAGCCATGGTTTTCCCAGTAGTGATGTATGGAAGTGAGAGCTGGACCATAAAGAAGGCTGATCGCCGAAGAATTGATGCTTTTGAATTATGGTGCTGGAGGAGACTCTTGAGAGTCCCATGGACTGCAAGAAGATCAAACGCATCCATTCTTAAGGAAATCAGCCCTGAGTGCTCACTGGAAGGACAGATCGTGAAGCTGAGGCTCCAATACTTTGGCCACCTCAGGAGAAGAGAAGACTCCCTGGAAAAGACCCTGATGTTGGGAAGATTGAGGGCGCAAGAAGAAGGGGGTGACAGAGGATGAGATGGTTGGATAGTGTTCTCGAAGCTACAAACATGAGTCTGACCAAACTGCAGGAGGCAGTGGAAGACAGGAGTGCCTGGCGTGCTCTCCATGGGGTCACGAAGAGTCGGACACGATTAAACGACTAAACAACAACAAGGTTAATCTAGTTCAACCTCCTGCAATGTAAGAATCTCGGCTGAAGCATCCATGACATGACCATCCAGCCTCTGCTTATAATCCTCCAATGAAGGAGCACCCCCCGCCCTCTGAGGGAGTTCATTTCACTGTTTAACAGCTTCCACCACCAGAAAGCTCTTCCTTGAGCTATTTCCACCATCTCAGCCTCCTCTTTTCGAGGCTAAACACAGCCAGTTCCCTAAACCATTCCTCACAAGGCTTGTTTTCCAGACCCTTGATCATCTTAACCACCCTCCTCTACACATAACTGGACCCCGTATTCCAGGTGTCATCTGTCCAAGGACTAGTCTGACCTTGAACTGGACACTATACTTCAGTTGATGCAGACATTAGCCTTTTTGACTGCAGCGTCACACTGCTGACTCGTGTCAAGCCAAGTATTACCCATTGTATATATGTTCAGCTGATTATTCCTGTGTTAGTGCAGAACCTTACATTTGTCCTTATTAAAATTCATTTATTGCCTTTTATACCACCTTTTCCTCCAAGGAGTATTAAAGGTCACAGTCCATCACACTTTTGCTGCATGAGTATACTCATGTGTAGGCACCTTGTTAGCAGCTTTCAGTCTTTCTGCTGAGTTTCTGGAAGCAGTCGTCAGCAGTTGAAGCTACACTTTGAGAAGAAACATTCACAGACACCGTAAAACTCAGTCACGTGTTTTATTGCTTGACTGGTCATAAATGCTTCACGGTAACACTATTTACAATCATTATAGCAAGAGCTGTA